AAAGATAATACTGTAGTAAAAAATAATCTTTTACAACAAAAATTACTTTTAAATCAATTAGATTTTCTTTTATCATCATAGTTTATTATATTATTCTACATTAGGAAAAATATAATTTATTTATTAGCTTTAAATTAAATTTTATTTATAAATATCATAAATTTTTTCTCTTGCTAATTAATGTCTTTTTTACCAGAAGAAATAATTGAACGAATAATTTATTTTTTTTCAGAATCTTTGATATTTAATACTCATTATGAAAGTATTGATTCAAAGCAACATCCAAAAAGACTTATTGATAATATGCGTTTTGTTTCATATAAATTCAATCAATTATTTGAATATTCATTCAGAAAGATATATTTTGAATTCTATCATATAAATGAAGTCACTATTCTATCTAAATTAGCATTAAAACTTATTAAACGATATGAAAATTATTTTGATCCAACACAAAAAATGATTAATTTTTTTAAAGAAAAAGAATGTGAAGAATTAAATTTTTGGGAATCAATTATCTTAAATACTATAATTGATTGTAATGATTCTATCGCAATTATATTTACTGATTTGTTTATAAAAATTGGTATCTTTAAAATTTTTTCTTTTGGTATAGATTTTACTCTTAGCAAAGAATGTAATTGTTCTGGTTCTGATAGTAAATCTTGGTTAATTTTCAAACAATCAAAAGACAAAAGATTTTGGTATTATAAATGTGGAAGATGTCAATTTTATGAAGTAGCAATTAATTATTCAAGAAAAAGAAAATCTGAAAAAGTTGTAAAACAAAAAAAGAGAATTAAAATTTGATATAAATATAACTATCATTTATCTTATTCAATAAAAAAAAATGAAAATTTTTTATTTTTTTATATATTTTATTATTTTTGTATCGATTCTTCATCAATTAGAAACATATGCTTCTTGTTGTCAAAGATCATCTAAACATATTACATATAAAAATTCATATTCATCAAAGATCGTAAAAAAATGTAGCTGTTGTAGAAAAAAAGGTCATAATATAAGAACTTGTACAAATATATGTGTGTAAAAATATATATAAATATATTGGTAGTAAAGAATATTTATTTTAAATTAATAAAATGAAGAAAGAAGAAATATTATATTATTATAAAATTTTAGGATTAAATGAA